TACGTTTTTTTTACCAATCAGACATCAAAGTTTCTATGATAGCGGCTCACGCACTGCAAAAATGATCTAAAAATTAGTAAAAATGTCTTAAATTAAGTGTATTTACCCTTATTATGAGCTGGTAAATAAGATGATTTGCCAATGGAATGGGTATTTTTTACTCTTAAAATAGGATAATTAGATATGATGCACTTGAAATAAGACAACGCAATTGTTTTTCTTTTTTTAAATGTAAACTGACTTGTTCCATTGGGAAAGTGTCTCACTTACCTGCTTAATTTAAGAAAAAATGACTTATTTAGATTAGAATTTTTTGCAGTGCGGCCCCGCCCCTTGACCCGGAATTATTTTTTAAATCATTAAAAATAATTATATTTTCTGTAAAACGCATTAAACAAATGGCATATTTATATCCAGTTTTAAAAATGTAATGTGACATTTTAATAATTATTTCATAAGGTATTTATTGCATGTTGCATTCGTCACTCCATTTTGATGTCCCTTTCTAAAATCATGTTTTAAAACGTTTAAAAAAAAATTTAAACATTTTAAATTTAATCTTCAAATTTGAAACATGCCCCTATAATAGTTAATATTCCTGGTTCTTCTTTCTGTGTATTTTATCACTGTTAATTATAAAACTAATAAAATTTGTAGCTCTACTGCATCACAATTTGAGTTAAAATATTATGTACAAGTTAAAATACATCCTGGTAATAACTTCTGGAAATTAAAATGATAACTAACTAGCTGCTGATGGAGCATTTTTTATAAAACAGAAGAAAATGTTACAGAAACCTCATATTTCCAACATTAGCACCACAAATCTACTATAGTAACTGAAGTTCAGTTGTAGATAGTTGTATTTGTTTAACCCTGATGCAGTGGGTAGTGGAATTACATACACACTATGAGGAAACTGTTCCTTATAAATAAATATGAATGAAATGAGAACATTTTAAGACGAAATATAAAAAAGCTAAACAGTTCTATACAGAATGATGGGGTAACAGAAAATAATGGATCAGTTTTGTCCCTGTTTCTCCCGTCTCTCATATTCCGCTTACATTTACATCCATAGCTCATCAGAACTGGATGTTCTCACTGTCCTAAAAGCAACATCAGTCTGTCCACCATGGAGCAACATGTCCAGAAACAACGTCATCTCACTCCCGCCACACTGATCCACAAGCTGAGGTTCAACCGCCAACCTTCATCTCCATTTAAAGTGTTCTCAGTAAGGGTAGGCAGAGACGGCGATGTATACGATGAAGGTTGTCTGGTACTCCACGGCGCCGTCCTCGCTGTAGGAGAGCGCTCGTACCTTCATGCGGTACGTGTGGGGCTCTCTTAGAGGTCTGGTGGTGAACAAAACACCCTTCATGTTTTCGTCTCGCAGGGCGAAGGGTAAGGAGGCGTCCTCGTCCACCACCAGGAAGCTGGTTCTGGGGTGCATCACGCCGTCCTGTGTGTAGGCCACCAACCGGATGAGGTCCTGGTTGGCTGCGATGCCGAAGGGAAGAGACAGCAGCTTGTATTCTAACGCGTATGGACTCAGCGCACACTCCAGGTCGTTTGGTAGGCAGCTCTTCAAGCAGAACCTACAAGGTGAAAATCACAATACTTGCTTAGATGCTCAGTATAAGATAATTCGATTTTATAGTTGCTGTGAGTAACGGTTAGTGCTGACCCCTGATATTGATACCCGATACCTGGCTGTGCATTATTGGTCAATGTCCATACCATCTGTTTAAAATTGATGTGTGTATGTATGAAGAACTGCATACTACTTGGATGTAAAATAATTGCCATCATGGCTTTGTCAAGCTGCTGCCTACCTTTGTGAAGCAGGAAAAAGACTAACACAAAGTAAATCTAGTAGAAATGTTTATTGCCTACCTGGAATGGGTGACAATACTTGAATAAACTTTTGACTCTCAAAATGGTATCAGTGCCCTATTTGTCGGTTCTCCCCGATACCAATACCACCCTTTTAGTGCTGGATCGGGGCCCCGCCCGATACTGGTATCAGTATTGGTGCAACACTAGTAACAGTTTAGCCTCGTGAGACCATCCTGATCTCGCGAGCTTTCAAGATTTCACTCGCTAATCAGTCTGGAGACTCTCCGTT